ATTCTCATGTTGCAGCTTTTGGAGTATTTTATGTGTCCTTTGTACTAGTTATTGTAAACCAAATGTCCCTGTGGCCATAAATGAAAGTACACGTTTTTTATTTTCCATAGTTTACTTACACATTCGTTAGTAGATACCACAGGGTAATTTCGCTGGTCAATTAATTTCTTTGAAACAGGTGGTCATAGCCAACGTCCGTAGTCCTGACCGGCAGGCGCAGCACTTCTCTCTCCGCCCCAACGACACTGAGTTCCAGGAATGTGGCTTCAACAAGAGTACGCCGTATCTGGTCAAACTCACCGCAGAAGGTCAAAATTCGGGAGATGTCGAAAGCGGTTCAGAGGTCATGTGGACCACGCAAGGAATACCACCCAGTCCTCCCCCTCTCAGGTAATGAGTTTAACGCTGCTGTCAATTAAACGTTTATCTCCTACAAGATCGACTGAGTCTAGTGGACAGGCAGCTTTGGAAACTACCCCGTAAACACGACTTACGAATGCCCTGTTGGGGGCTGGAATAAGCGCCGTGCCTACCTTATTCCGGCACGGTACCAGTTGAGTTATCATTATATAGAATTGTATTTTTGCATAAATCGAACGTAGCTTTAAAATTAAAGGCTACACAAGAAACGTGAACCATGTACAAGTATTATGCGAAACGTTGAATGAACTTATAATCATAATCGTATGGCAACGATCAGCAGCTTTTTTTTCACTGGGAGTTCTTCTTTCTGTCTCATCCCTAAGGTATCTTTTATTTCATTCTGTGTAGTCTTTTTAAAAAATCGTGTCACTTGTCGTATTACGACTTACGATGTCTTGTTTTATTTCACCTACCCTCACTCAAATGGAACACTCTATTGTTGTTAGTGGTTCCTTTACGTTTACAGTTATTAGCCTTCTATTCTATTTCTGGTGTAATATAGGTGTTACCGAGTTAAACTTTGCCTTTGTTTCATTTCCTTCTCCTGCAGTATATCGTTTTACGCATCTGATTTCATACTATCTTCTAGTAGCATTCCATTTTATTCCATCTATTCTAACCTTTTTTTTTACCTCATTTTATTTTATCATATATTGTCTCATTTCTTTTTATCTCCTCCTGTTTCATATTCTCTTGCCTTTTCTTTCAGAATCATATCAGTGACTCAAACATCGATAACGGTAGAAGTCCCCAAAATCCAACTAGAGACTGGGCCTCTCACAGCCATAGAAATTCGGCTAAAGAAAGGGAAGACTCACGAAGAGGCTCAATCGAGCAGAAGCAAGGGAAACAACCCTGAGGTCAGCTTGAAGAGAAGAAAGCGAGATACGAAGGACAACAGGCTTGTGAGGGCGGAACGAGAAAATGTTAGAAAGACGTTCGACAGAATGCTGAGGACACTGCTTCGGAACATAGCTCCAGCTTTCTCTTCACTGACCAACGGACATGAATCCCCATCTGCCGATGCCGAACTTCGTCTCTCTGCTGGAGAAGATGGCCGTAAAAGTAGCGGGAAGGTCGGCAAAAGAGAACACCTTGCAGGGGGCTCTAAAGATGGATACAAAGATAAGCGAAAAAGTCACGAGCCGGATTACAGAAACGACTCTGTGCCCGGAGGGGAAAGGGATAAGATGGCAGGTGTCTCTGTACATGGCTCAAACGATGATGGTATTCAAGACAAAAACAAAAGCCGGGAGGAGAAGGGAGAAAAAGTTCGTAAATATGGCGGAAGAAATGGGGGGAGAGGTTGCGAATGGTTTACAAAGGTTTCCGGTACGACTGATGACCTCGATGACGAAGCAGAGTTGAAGAGTATTATGGAATGTTTTCTTCAGAATCTCCAAAACTTTTCCAACTATGTTCCAAATACCTTATTCACAAAGTCTGCGAAGTCCTCCAGGGAGGAAAACATGTTTTTCAACTATAAAAACAGAGATAACTATATTAAAAACAAAAGCAGCACATTCAGCTCCCACCTAACCCTTCCTCTCTACGTGGAATCAGAGGGCAGTTCAGCAAAGCTGGACGGCAAATTAGAGGGTGAGAAAAGTGAGGAGGAAGCTCATGGGACGGTGTTCCTCGACTTTTCCCAAAGACAAGCTGACAGTGAGAAGACACAGTCTGTGAGGAGGCGCAGGTCTGTGGAGCTTGATGGGGCTGTCTGGACGTCTCTTGGACACTTCCAAGAGGTGAATTAAATAACTCGTTGGTTTTTGTATTTTTTGTATACTGTAACAGTCTGCCACCTGAGATTTCATGTATCGCAATTGTAATGTCCTTGCTATACCTTTTCTATTGACAGATTTGTATTGTGACGTGTACCATAACGTTCTTTTTTCTTTTTTCTTGTTTTTAAAAAGTGCTAGATCTTACAAAGACATTAGCAGTTACGTTTCACGTTTAACCACTCATTTATCTGCCCATATTCTCAACAAAAAAAAAGTTTATTATGACATAACTTTAACCTCACAAACTCGTTTGTTGCCTGTATATGAAGTGTCTTTCCGAAAAGAAAAGAATTCAATTTAAACATTTGAGAATATTGAATCGAAGGTGAGTGCAAAACAGTGTGGTCTCACTTAATGTTTTTTCACAGACTGACACTTAGGGAGAAAGATCGGCACAATGGCAAATTAGTTACGGAATTATTATAGTACCTTATAGATGCCACACCTGTGCGTTATAGACCGGGTATTGCGACCAGTTCACAATTTTTGTCCGTCTTTCTGGGGTAGATCCCGGGTATTTCCGATAGCGAGGAGCGACGGATGACTCTGTACGGCCCCGAGGATTTGGAGTTTAGCCAGACTGAGAAGCTAATGGACGTTGTGGGGCGACCCCCCGTCTTGGTGAGAATGGGGTAAGCTTAGTGAAAGTGTTTTACATCCTCTTTCATACCTTTCTAGATTGTTTAGAAATGTGTCTTTTTCCACTCTTGTCTTGACCAACAGGAGTTATGTGGAGTCAGTAGTCTAGTGGTAATGCTTCCGGGTTCATAGTCGTGAGGTTGAGGGTTTAAGGGTTCGACCCGCAGGCCCGATGCTGTGTCCTTGGTAAAGGCATTTAATACGAAGTTCCCTCACTTCAGCCAAGTATGAAAGAGTACATGGACAAAAAACTGCAAAATGTATTATCAGCATGTGAGTGCTTTTTCGTCTATAAAAAGGTAGCTTGCACCATGCATCCTAGGAATTTGAGATTGTTTCAGAATGCTATCAGGCTTGGTGGGGAAAAATATACGTGTAAATTTTAAAGCGCATAGAGCTTACTGTTGAGCAGGAACTTGCGCTATACGAATGTTATTTATTTCACTTATCAACAAAGCTATACTACTCCTGAAGAAAGGCGGAAAATAGATTCTTATTGTTTAGTTTAAAAAAATAAAACCTGCGAAGTACTGGCGACTCGTATAGGTCATTTAAGTGCCACTGCAATTTCAATAACATATTATTAGTATAAATGAGTAATCTGTAATGTCCGCCTTAAATACATTTCTATTTTGATATAAGTTTTACGCCACCATCGACACACCTTAAATCATTTAAGAGGCGGGGCTTTGTGAGAAGTAGCCATCTTTGTTACCAAGAAGAAAAAAAACAACCTTGGAAATAATATGCCATCAGTCTGGTTTACTGAACACATTGTCAGATCATAAACACGTTTACCAATAATAAGGGCTCTGGAAGATCGAAAAAAGAAAAAGACTTACAATATAATGTTATGTGCTGTTACGGTTAAAGCTCTTTTCTGTTGCACGCACACATGCCACTTCTAAATTCTGAATAGAGTATTCCAATGTTTCGAGCATTATCATCTAGTAGCTGGACTAGAGATAAGACATAACATGACGAAATTGACGATGTTTGGCTATTGGTGTACACGGAGATTACGATACCTAACACATTTGCTTGTCATATTGAGTTCATCTTAGTCGCATGGATTTCTGCTGAATCTGCTGAATAAATTATTTTTGACGAATAATTAGCATGCAAACGTTTCGTCCGCAGGAACGGGTTCTTCGTGTCCAGCCCGCACGGCCTGAGATATCCGTACTTTAACGACCACCGATTGTTGCAGAACCGACTGCGGAGTCTAAAGTTCACGGAAGTAAAGGATCTTGTGGACTTTGGCTACGTGAGAACTCAAATCATTCTGTGACATGATTATTAGCTCAGACTTTTTTTTAAAACGCAAACCTACGGACGACTGGTGTCTGTGGTTCGGTGGTTCTGTGTTAGGTCGTCGCACCCAGGAAACGGGATTTCGATGGGTAGAATAATAATTAAGAGTATCTTGGTCTTTCCACTGGGGCGCGGTATCGTTGTCAGTCGGGTCACACCTGCATGACAGGTTCTAAGAAAAACGGCCCTTACTTGAATTAAAGTTCGTAGATAGGGACGTAAAGCACTTATACAATATTTTGTGAGGTTTTTTTTTTAAACCTAGAGCTTTTACGTTTTCTGTAGTGTACCAATACCCCCCCCCCCTTTTCCCCGCCAGCAAAAAAGACACGTACACGTCCTCTGCCTACCTCGATAAAACACACACACACACACACACACACACACAAACACACATGTAAACACACATGTAAATACACACGCAAACACACACGCGCATACACAATAATAAACACATACATACAAACACACACGCAAATACACACTAAAAGCCCATTCGCTCAGACAAACAATAATAACTAGAACAACAACAGCCACGACTACAATAACCAAACTAACAACAGCAATTACTTACGCCAATGTAGCAAACAAATGCATTTATTTTTCACCAGTACTCTCGACAATTATTACAATCATGACAACTATTGCAGTTATGCTAAATTATTTCACATGTGATGATTTACCATCAACTTTACCATCCTGATCACATCCCGGAATCACCCACAGGTGAGCAACATGGGTTTGAACTCCATGACGATCGTTGCATTTACAAAAATTTCTTCACTTACGATTTATTTACCTCCACAATCATCACTCTCATTGTAATCACCACCAATC